AACCCAGCTATCTAGCCATTTGGCTAGATAGCTGCCTGGCTAGCTAGACACCCTACTAGCCAGCTTTCTAGCTGTCTGGCCAGCTAGCCATCTAACTAGCTAGCTATCTGGCTGGCTAGCCGTCTAACTAACTAGCTAGCCAGCCACCTAGCTAGCTCGCCGCAAAAGTATCCAGGCTGCCAGCTAGCTGGCAGCTCCGCTGTGTCATCTAGAAAGTCAGTTACGTGAAGAGGCAGCTAGCGCTTAGCTAGCCGTAGCCAGCTAGTTAGCTAGCTAGCTAGCTACCTAGCTAGCTAGCTAACTACGTCTTCAGCTAGCCAGCTAGCTACGTCGCTAGCCAGCTATGTCGCTAGCTCTCTAGCTAGCTCGTTAGCTAGCCCGCTCGCTAGCCATCCGAACAGGCAGCTAGCTAGCTAGCTAGCTAGCTAGCCAGCTAGGGTGCAGCAGGAGACCAGGCTGGCGAGGCGCACGGCCCCCCTGCAGCGCGGGCAGCAGCGGCCAGCCCTGGCGAGGGCCCCGTCTTGGGGCCCCCAGCCGCAGCCGCGGGCTGCATGCGTTTCTGGGGCTTCACCGCCGCATGCAAAGGCCCCACACAGCAAGCAGCAAAAAAAACTCAGCCCGTGGGGCCGCGCCCCCCCTGCTGCTGCTGCTGCTGCTGCTGCTGCTGAGGAGGAGGAGGAGGCTGCTGAGGGAGAGGCTCCTGGTGAGGCTGCTGGTGAGGATGTTGTTGAGGCTGCAGCAGCAGCAGCATCTGCTGCTGCTGCAGTTGCTGCTGCTGCTGCTGCTGCTGGAGGGGGATGCAGGGGCAGGGGGGCCCCACGGGGCCCCTCGCTTCCAGTGTACAGACACCTCAGGCACTGGGCGCATGCAGGAAAGCAGTGGCCATGAGCAGCACAAGAGTAGCAGCAAAAAGGTGGGGAGCTGCTGCAGCTGCTGGCCCCACAAAGGGGACACAACTGCAGCACGGCCTGCCCCGCCTTTGCTGCTGCTGCTGCTGCTGCTCCCTGCGGAGCAGCAGCCCCGAACTCCCGCGCCAGCAGCTGCAGCACGGCTGCTTCCTCTACAGCTACCACGCTGCTGCTGCGGATGCAGCTGCCAGGCTCAGCTGGCTGCTGCAGCAGCAGCAGCAGCTGCTGCTGCTGCTTGCTGGGGGAGCCCTTCTTCAAGAATGCCGCGCAGTTGGGGCTGTGGCTGCGAGGCAGCAGGCAGGCCACCAGGGCCCGCAGGTGCTGCAGCAGCAGCAGCGTCGCTTCCTGCTGCAGTGCTTCAGCAGCAGCAGCAGCAGCAAAAAGGCGACACACCCGCCGTGCTGCTGCAGCAATAACTCGCTGCCGCAAAAGCACGCAAGCCCCAAGCCAGCGGCTGCAGCAGCTGCTGCTGCTGTTCTGGCCGGCCTGGGGGGCCCCGCTCCTAAAGGGGGCCCCCGGGGGGCCCCTGGGGGCCCCCAGGGGGCCCCCTGCTGCAGGTTTTTGGCTGCCAATGAAAAGCAGAAGACTTTCTGCTTCTGCTGTTTCTAATAAGGCGAGCCAGAGACCCCCAAAGTCTATTTGTGCTGCACTTTTGTCTCCTTTTGCTTCTTGGGATTTAAAAGCCAAAGCGCATGTAGCGCTGAGGGCGCTCCGGGGGGTCTCTGCTGCTGCTGCTGCTGCTGCTGCTGCTGCTGCTGTTTGCTGCTGTTGGCTTTCTGAAGCGGCAAAAAAGCTGGACAGCGGCGCGGAAGACACAGAATTTTCCCCGCGCGGACCCCCATTGAGAGCAGTAGCTGCTGTTGCTGTCGACGCTGCTGCTGCTGCTGCTGCTGCTGTGGGTGTTGATGCAGCTGTTGCTGCTGGTGCCTCTGCGCAGTCGCTGTCCCAATCTGAGGGGAGCGACAGATCGTCTTCGTCTTCTAGCTTTACTGCTGCTGCTGCTGCTGCCCTGCCTCTGCTGCTTTTAGTTTTGCTGCTCTCTTGCACTTTCCGCTCAGCAGCAAGAGGCCGCTGGTACGGCCCCCTAAGTGCCAGACGCAGAGCCCACAGTTGCTGCTCCTCTGCGCAGCACCGCGCAGCAGCAGCAGCGTCTGCTGCTGCTGCTGTTGCTGCTGCTGGGGCTGCGGGAGCCGCCGTAGCTGCTGCTGCAGCGGCAGCACGGGCAGCGGGCTGCTGCTGCTGCTGCTGCTGCGAGGCCTGCAGGAGCTGCTGCAGCTGCCGCTCCAGGCTCAGCAGGCCAACTGCAGCAGCAGAAACTGCCAAAGGCGCCACTGCTAGTTGAATATTAATTTCATTTTGCTGCGTCAAGATGAAGAGCAGCGAGCCGCAGCAGCTGGGCAGCAGAGCTGTACATACACCCCAGAGAGGCGCAGCAACAGATGGGAAAGCGGCGCTGAGAGTGGCAAATTGGAGCTCTTTAATTATTTAAATAAATTAATTGGTTTCAATTTATTTATTTATTTATTATTAACTCAATTATTATCGGTTTATTCCTATTTTAAACTCAAATTCATACAAGCAAACCCGCACAAAAACCTGCTGCTGCTGAGACGCCCCCAGCAGCAGCCCGCTGCAAGCAGCTTGCAGCAGCAGCAAAATAGGCAGCAGCAGCAGCAGCAGCAAAATAAGCGGCAGCGGCACTAAATCAGCAGTAACAGCGGCAAAATCAGCGGCGGCAAAGTTCCCACCAGCAGCATCAAAAGCAGCAGCAGCAGCAACAGCGGCAGCAGCAGCAACAACAGCAGCAGCGGCAGCACTCAAATCAAGTCTTACTTAGCAGGCGGCGGCTGAGGAGGCTCCTGAGTCTACGGGCCTTCACACTTGGGGGGCACAAGCCGCTCCAAGGGTCCCCGTCTTCTCCCCAGTTTTCCTTCGGGATACAAGCTTGCTGCTGCTGCTGCTGCTGCTGCTTCTGCTTCTCTTGCTGCTCGTGCACCGGACGGTGCTGCTGCTGCGCCTCTGCTGGCGCGGCTTCGGCGAGCAGCTCCTGGTCGACTTCAAGGCTTTCCACGTCTTCCGTCGCATCGCCATCATCCTCATCTGCAGCAGCAGCAGCAGCTGCTGCTGCCGCTGCTGCTGCTGCTGCTCGTGCAAGGTCTGCTGCTGAGGCCTCAGGCGCAAGGGCCCTAAAAGAATGAGCAGCTCTGGGCATCAGCAAATCCTCGATGCGGCCCGTGGGGTGTATAGACGTCACAGGGGCCAGCGGCTGCAGCACCCACCGCAGCGGCTCCGTGCTGCAGCAGCAGCAGCAGCAGCAGCAGCTGCTGCTGCTGCTGCTGCTGCTGCTGGCTGCTGGGGCCTGGTCACTAACTTCGGGGTAAAGCACAAACGACAGCAAAGCCCCTTTGCTCACAGCCGCCAGCAGCAGCAAAAATGGCTTGTCTCCTTGCTGCAGCGCCGGCAGCTGCTGCGCTGCTGCTGCTGCCTGCGGGCACAGCAGCAGAAAGGCCCGCAGCAAACTCTTCTGGTGTGTACATACACCCCAGAATAAAAACCCCAAAGGCTCTCCTACGCACCTCTAGAGGCCCTCTAGGGGACCCCTAGGGGGCCCCTAGGGGGCCCCTAGGGGTCCTTAGAAAGGACCCAAAAAGGCCCCAAAGGGCCCCTAAAGGGCCCCAAAAAGGCCCCGAAAGGGCCCCTAAAGGGCCCCCTAGTTAGTGGTCATCTGCGTGGCTTGAAGGCCCCCTACAGGGGCCCCCAAGCATCCCCCAGAAGGTCCCAAAAAGACCCTTTAGGGGCCCCAAAATTCACCAAGACGATCCCTAAAGGGGCCCCCAAACGGGTCTCTAAAGGGGCCCCTAAAGGGGCCTCTAAAGGGGCCTCTAAAGGGGCCCCTAAAAAAGCTCGTGAAGGGCCCAGTAAGGGGGCCCCTACAGGGGCCCCTAAGCGGGGGCCCCTAAAGAAGCCCCTAAAGGGGCCCCTAAGGGGCCCCCTACAGGGGCCCCTAAAAGGCTCCTTTAGGGGCCCCAGGGGGCCCTCGTGTGGCGTCTTTGTAAGGAAATGTGGGGGTCCCTTGGGGGCCCCTGGGGTCCCCAAGTAAAGGACATTTTATTGTTGTTGTTGACATTGAATTGATTTATTTATTTTCTAAATTGCACACAGAAGCTAGGAAGCTTCAAAGACTCACTAAAGGGAGGGGGGCCCCCGGAAGGACACAAAGGCTCACGGGGGGCCCCTCGGCGATCTGGGGGGCCCCCACGCGGAATACGGGGGCCTCGGCTGTGTAAACCTGCTGCCTGCTGCTGCAGCAGCATTCAGCAGCAGCAGCAGCAGAAGCAGCAGCAGCAGCTGCAGCAGCGCAAAGGGGTGAAACTCGCATCACCGCCACACGCAGCCAAGAGCCGCAAATGGTGGCAGCGATACGCCAGCAGCTGAGCAGCCCTAGGGCTTGCTGCTGCTGTTGCTGCTGCTGCTGCTGCTGCTGGTGAGGAGTCTGCTGCTCCGCGCCTACGTAAGAGCCGTTTGGCGCTGCTGTAGTTGCTGCTGCAGCAACCGCTGTTTCCGTTCTTGCTGTCGCTGTTTCTGCTTCTGCTGCTGCTCCTTTTCCTCCTCCTGCAGCAGCAGCAGCTGCTGCTGCAGCTGCTGCTGCTGCGTTATCGAGAGGCAGCAGTGCATCGCTTACGTCCGCCAGCTGCAGCAGCCCGCTTGGCCCTCCTGCAGGCCTCAGCAGCAGCAGGGGCTCTTTTGCTGCTGCTTCCATAATCACAAACTCCGTCAGTTTGCTGCAGCAAGAGGTTTGCTGCTGCTCGCTGCAGCACCCCACAGATCCGGGGGGCCCCGGTGTCTGTACACCCGAAATCCAGAAGCAGCAGCAAAAGC